TCCTTCATAAGCATCAACCAATGCATCCCAGATTTGTTTAGCAGTAGTATAGTTTGAAATTCTGTTGTACTCATCTGGTCCAAGACCACAAACAAGAATGTTTTTGTTCTTAGCATTTTTCCTGAGAGCTGATAAATCTTCCGTGGTGAAGTCAATCTTAACCTTTTGTAATTTAAGTCCTTCGACAATCTTCATTGCAATAGTGGGTCCTATATTTATCCTATCCATAATTCATAATATTCTGCTTGAATAAATCCTCCATGTGTGCTTTCCACTATCCAAAGTGAGACCCATTGAACATTGGGAGTCTAACAGTTTACTGTCTTTCGCTGTGACCAATAGGTGGTACAGAATTCATCTCGATCTTTTATCTTAGGTGTTAACCTGTAAAAGACAACCTGGTTTGATACCAATTGATATTCTACACAACCTAATAATTTACTAATTTTAACTTTTCACCTAAGTGTGAAACAGATTGCCTAACGTGTTCAAGCAAATTGATAAAGACAGTAAGTAAAAGCACACTATTTTACGTGGAGACACCCGACTTAAAAGGTGTAAAACCACGACCTTTACCCTTACAAGATTTAACTCCAACTTCACTAAATCAACTACGAGCCTCCATAAAAGATAGATTATAAACTTTGTAACCTACCTTAACTTCAAGTTATGGATTTCAACTATAACTCTTGTAATTCTAGGAACTAACTCTAATTCGTAATCTTCAACACAAACCTCCCAATGTATGTGTTCCCAACTCTTCGAGTTATCACAACCCTAAGACAACGCTCCCAATTCAGTTTATAACTCACTGAACTAAGATTACATCAAGACTCATTCACAAAGAAAAACTCCTAATACATAAACTCTGTAAAGGATCAGGTTCTTTGTTGTGTTCCTTCAGTTCGCTGGTAGCACTTGCTAAGTGAATTTCTCAATCGCTTTTTTGCTATGTAAGTGCACAAGTATTCTGAATGACTTTGCTTCTATTTAAGCACATTTATCATAGAGTTATTGTTCACTTCAAACTCCTTATTGACTTGAACACTCTTGACTTGGAGTTCTACTTCAAGTAAGATTTGTTCTTCAATTCAAACTCCTAACTTCTTTAGACTTCTTCTTCAAATTACCTTCATTGATTCTTTTGTATTGTAGTCAAACTCTAACACTTCAATTCAGTTGTAACTTCAAGAGTTCTATTTTAAGTGAGACTCCTTCAATTAAAACTACTTGTCTTTTTAGACTCCTTCAAACCAAACTCATTGATTCTTTCTCTTCAATTCATTAGATGTTTATTTCCGTGGGGTTTCTCACAAAGTTAACATTATTCATTTTTTATTTCTACACTCTTGTCTTAATTCATTTTAGAAGCAATCTCGAATTCAACATCTCGTGACAGTGCACCTTTGGACCATGTTGACTTACGTGTTTCTTCTTTCTTTGTCAATCATCAAAACTGCATAAATCCCAACATTTTATAATATATAGATTATTTGTGACTAAGTTCTATGGTAACACTTAACAGTGTAGAAGAGAAGACAAGTATAAGACAATTTTGAGAATTAAAATTCAATCTTGATGAGTACAATGTTGTTCTTTTCATTTCAATTTGTTTGATGTCTTTTATTTACAATATTCTTTTTTGTTGTTTTATTTTGTTTTCTTGCTTTTTCCTCATGTTGGTGATTTTACTGTACTTATTATTTTGTGCATAATTTTTTTTTTGTAAATGATCTTTATTGTTTATAATGGAAGACAAGAGAAACATATGACAATATTTAGGGATTTAAGTTTTAAGTTTGATAAATTCACTAGGAAAAGGAACCCCTACGTTACTGTTTATGCCCATTAATCTTTAATAGTGTAGTGAATATTGAGAGTGTGTACAAATTGAATATTAGAGGCTAGGACAATTTTCTTTGGTATTCCTACAAAATTATTTTATTTATTTGTTTAATTTTAATTTATTCTGATTTTCTTTGGTACTCCAACAATGATTCTTTGATTTATTTATTTAATTGTAATTTATTTCTACACTAAATAATATTATTGAAATTTCAGGTAAATTATTTTTAATTTTAAAGATTTGAATCGTTTTGTTCATTATCCTTCAATATTTTTTTATTGTTTCAACATTTTATATATTTTATTGTGAATAATAAAATTAATCTTGAGGATTAGGAAAGTCCACAATTTTTTTTCTATTTACCTTTTAGAATAATTTAGAAATAGTAACTAAAATATAGGTAAGTTTAAGGCCTAAGTCATCTCCAGCCACTCAAAATTGTCCGCATAATTCATTTAGACACCTCAACTAATCCTTGTGTCAATTGACCACTTTATTTGTTCAAAAGTCATTCCTATTAGACACAAAATGCTGACATGACAAAAAACGTGTAATTCACTTTTCTTGAGCGCGTTAATTTATTAAAAATAATATTTTTCTTTTTTTTTCTCTTAATTTATACCCCTAAGTTAATTTTTTTACAAAAAATTAATAAAAAAGAAGAAGAACAGTTGTCTTCTTCTTCTTCCCTATTTCTATCAACCCCACCACCCCACCCCAACCCCCATACCCATACACCAGTGGTTATCTTCTTCCCCCATCATTCTAATGATTTCAAAATTCTTAGTATCAATGGTTATCTTCTTCCCCCACCATTCTAATGGTTTCAAAATTCTTAGCATTTTTGTTTCATTTATAAATTTTTCGAAGAGATTCTTTTCCCCATCTTTCTCTACCTAAAAAACGAGATGAAGTAAAAAATTATAATTAATAAAAAAGCTGATGAAAAAAAAATTTGTTGAGTTAAAGATAACTGTACAGGGAAGGGGGGGGGGGGGTCGCCATTAATGGAGTTAGAGGAAATGTATGTTTTGTTCCAGTTGAAGGCAGGGAAGTGGGTGTTTAGGTTTTTCTCTTTTTTTTTTCTTTTTTTTTTTACTTTAAAATAATTTTTATTTTTTTTACTTTATAATATAATGTTTAAATAATTTTTTGGATTAAAAAATAACACATGTCATTATTTGATTGGTCAAATTGACATGTCAGCGCGAGTGTATTTCACACATTCTCTATTTTTTGTTTATTCTCGAAAAAATGTTCAAATGGTTCAAATTCAGAATGGTTGAAGTGTTCGATAGGTAGTACGTCTAGTTGAGGTGTCTAAATGAATAATCGGGACAACTTTGAGTGGCCGCATATGACTTTGGCCTAAGTTTAAAGTTGTATTTTCGCTTAAGTCATCGATAGCCACTTAAAGTTGTCCGCAAAATTCACTTAAACACATCTTCTTAGGCTTGTTCTAATTGAACCCCCGTACTAATAAAAAAATTTACCTATCAAACACTTTATAGACAATCAGCTGAAATAAGAGAGTGTGTGTTATACACTTGCTGGTGATGTGGCATAGTAACTAATTAAAAAAAGACACGTGGTATTGGACCTAGAATAACTAAAAAAATAATAAGGAAAAATTATATATTTTTTAGAAATAAAAGAAAAAGAAAATCACCATTACCCTTCTCCTCTTTCTCCATAACCTTCCCCAAATACACCATAGACTACCATTTTTAAATCTTACTCTTATCCTCAAACTTCATTTAGATTTATTGATGTTCTTTTTTCTTCTTGTGTTGTCAGTTCTTTAAAATTTAAATAAATTAACAATTTCAAAGAATAATTTCAAATTCATATTATTCTTGCCCCAAAAAATGGAGTTTGCCGGAAATAATGAACACTAAAGTAAAGTAAAAAGATGATTGATCACTAATTGCTTGTTATTTTAATTTTTTTTAATCTTTATTTAATGAAATTTGCTTAACATCCCATTTCAAAGGAAAGGAATCTCTGTTTCATCTTCTTCCTTTTTTTGTTTTTCTTTTGTTTTAAGATTTTTATTTAATTTATGTTTGGGTTTAATTTGACAAAATAGATGAACAAGGTTAGATGCTTTTGATGGCAGCAGAGATAACATTTTTTACAGCTGAAAAACTTACAGTGGGTAATTTGAATGTGTAGTTGGTTGTTTGAAAGGCTAAGGTTGTTTGACAATGGTAGACTTGTGGATGATAGCAACCGATTTGATAAACTGGTGTATTGGAGAAAGAGAATGGTTGTAAATCGAAAAAGAAGGAGAAAGAATTATGAGTGGTGATGGTTGCAGAATTATGAGCGGTGATGGTTGCAGCTTGCCATGGAAAAATGGTGATGAGCTTTCTCAAAGAAGAAGAAAATATAAAATCTTTTTTTTTACTGAAAAGTTATGCTTTCACGCTCCTTTCTTTGTGTGTACCACAAACGCTTTGTCATGTCAGCAAAAGGGGTTTAATAGGTAAACAATTTTGTTGTCTAGGTGTTCAATTTGAACAAGCCTAAGAAGAGGTGTTTAAGTGAAATTTGCAGACAACTTTAAGTGGCTATCGATGACTTAAGCCTCGTGTGCGTGTGCGTGTGCGTGTGCGTGTGCGTGCGTGTGTGTGTGTGCGCGCGCGCGTGCGTGTGTGTGTGCGTGTGTGTGCGTGTGTGCGTGTGTGTGTGCGTGTGCGTGTGTGTGTGCGCGTGTGTGTGCGCGCGCGCGTGTGTGTGTGCGCGTGTGCGTGTGCGTGTGTGTGCGTGTGTGTGTGAAACATTTCATAATATAAGATTAGTGAAAGATGGGGGAAAATTTTCATTATTAAAGGAAAGAATAATAACTTTTGAAGGAAAATAATAGATATTAGAAAACTTAATACATTAAATTTACTTTTCTTATTAAAATAAAGAGAATAAATTTAGGTTTTTCCATAATATCGGAAATTCTTAAGTGATTTAAAATTACAAAAAATTATAATTTAATACTAATAATAAACTTAATTAACACTTAAATTTTATATATTTCGATTAAAGATTATAAAAAATCTTTAGAAATATATTTAGTACTCAACTATTCAAAAAATTAGTTATTTAACGAATTTAACGAGTAACTTTTTATCTCACGAAGCGCGGCTAATTTCACTAATATAATATATAGATCAATATTTTACAATCATTGAGCTAGGTGATGTAAGTAATTTCTCGAGTTATTAGAGGTAAGAGTGTAATTTCCGCCAAAGGCTTAAGTCACGTGATATTCCTCAGCCCGTCAGTAACAAAAGCAAAATATGGCAATAAATCCCTCGTTGTTGTACTATAAGAGTTGAAACTCGCCGGTGAGATTCTCCCTCTCTCCCGTCGGAGAGACGAAGAAGATAACATACAGAGAGAGGGATGGGACAAGAAGGGAATTGGGAGTGTAGTAGTTGCGGTGATAAGAATTATGCATTCAGATTTTTCTGCAATAGGTGTAAGAAGCCTCATCTCCTTGTTGACAATACAACTCCTCATGATTCAAAGTGGTTTCCTCGAATTAGGAATTAGATCTGTACTGGTATGTATCTTTCTGAATTTGTATCTTTTTTTTTCAGCTCTTTGATTGATTGTGCTGAGTTGTGAAATTGTCTTAGTTGTATGTATGTGAACTTACTGATAGATGTTGATAGAGGTGATGTAGGATTTGGATTTCAATTGATAAGCTTCGGTAGCCAAATCGGTCAAGCTTTTAAAATCGGTTCATTTTGTACAGTGTTACCTCAACGAAGTACTTTTGGTGAAACGGAAGCTAAGTTTCTGCTCAAGGCTCATGTAATAAGCTACCTGCCAAGTAGTGAAAAGTGTAGACCAATTAGTTCATAATCGAGTTGGACTCACTTGCACCCGTTAATACATGTATATACTTAATTATGGATCATATAATTAAATGTGCACTCTCAAATATATAAGTTGAGTTGTTGCATTGGTCCAATACTGTTCATTGGGCTTCTTCGCAACTCACAAGCATAGTAAGCTGAGTTCGATTCTGACTGTTGCATTTTCACTTCGTTTTTGTTTTTGTTTTTTTCAAAAAAAGACATTAAAAATCTCAAGCGAGATTTGAACTAGCAACCTCAAAGTGTATACTGAGGTCAAGACCATCCATCATAAGGTGAACTATGTTAGCTTCTAAAAAATGACTTATGCTACTCTCTATAAGCACTTACTTTCTCCCAAAAGTTTGACACAATACAATAATTGGATCTGCACTAGTATATATCTTTCTGAATTTGTATATGTTTTTTCAATTCTTGGATTGGTTGTGCTAAGTTATGAAATTGTATTAGTTGTATGTATGTGAACTTACTGATAGATGCTGATAGAGGTGATGTACGAGTTGGATTTTAGTTGATAAGCTTCGATAGCCTGTTTGGTCAAGCTTTTAAAATCGGTTCATTTTGTAAAGTGTTACCTTAAAGAGGTACTTTTGGTAAGAAATGGAAGCTAAGTTCCTGCGCATGGCTCATGTAATAAGCTACCCGCCAAGTAATTAGAAGTATAGACCAATTAGTTCATAATCGAGTTTTACCCACGTGTGAAAGAGTGGGTGCACGTGTACCCATTAACACATGTATATACTTAATTAAGGAACATATAATTAAATGTGCACTCCTAAACACATAAGTTGAGTTGTTGCATTGGTCCAACACTGTTCGTTGCGCTTCTTCGCAATTCACAAGCACATAATTTCTTATAGTTTAGTGATCTTTTATAATATTTATTCGTTTAAAGTAATGTAGGACTAGGCCCAAAACGGGAAGTATCAATAGTGGCTTGTATTTTGATATTGTTACATCATTTTAGTGGGTGTGGGGTGGGTTGATGCCAAAAGGGGCATAGTCAATGCGAGGGAGTGAAATCAAGTATGTCTACGGTAAAATGTTAGCACTAAAATTCAACTTTTAAATTGATAATGCATTTCCAAAAATTAATTAGTCTAGAAAAAAATCTTTTATTCTAGTAAGTATATAAAATTTTTAAATATAATTTAAGTTGAATTTTAATTTTGGTTATTTTAATACATGTCAAAAGTTTGATTTTCATTATAGTTGTTTATTAAAGCATTTACGGATCAAGTTAAATTGTTAATTATATTAAATGTCATTTTAAATTGAATATGTATGTTTAAAACTGTAAGTATATTACTGTACTTCTCTTTCCAAGTTAAATGATAGATTTATTTGAGCAAGTGAAAATGTTGATTTAGTTACTATAAAGGAATTGAAAGAATTTAAAAAATTATTTACCATGATAATTAAAAATTTCAAGTCAAATATTGTAATGGAAGATAATCTTTTTTTCATGATTGAAAATTATAGTACAACATTTATATTTAATTGACGCTCAAATCTGAGTTTTAGGGTAAGCAAATGTGCATTTTGTATGTAGTTAATAATCCATCAAATTATATTTAGAACACTTCATCATTAATTGATAAATTTCATTTAGTATATTAAATATTTACCTATTTTAAATTAAAATTTCAGATTTACTTACCATAAAGCTCAAATTTGAGTGTTAATTCAATAAAAATGTTTTACTATAATTTTCATTATGAAAAAAAAATTACTTTCCATTGCAATAATTGACTTGAAATTTAATTATCATAGTGCATAATTTTTCCAATTTTAGTCATGAAAGAATATATTATGTGTGTGTTATATTTTATAATTTTGTTATTCTATTTCAATAATGGTACGTACTACACGTGCTTTGCAATGATTTTTATTAAAGATATTTTGTCTATTAGTATTTTGTGTCTCGTACATGTTAAATCTCTTAATAGTATATTATGCATTTGAATTATATGTACGACAACAAATAAGTTTTTAAATGTGTTTTTTTAAACTGGTAACTACTAGGATCATATTTACAAGTAAATTGGGATCCTAATGTTGAATTTAAGACTTCAATAATAGATACAAGATCATTAGACTGAATTTGATTACACCAAAAACATAGAATCAAGACACAATTTAGTTTGATTTGTTCCATATCATTTTCTATGTTCTCAAAACACTTAGAATTTCTATGCTTCTAGATTGTCCACTATATGTTGATTAATATGATTTTCCACGTACTTCTGCTTTTTGCTAGAACCCTACCTTCTTCCAAACTTTGAAGGGCCTCTGTAACCTTTCCTGCATAGTCTACGAGAAACCTTGAAAGTTTATGAATAGCCTCCAAAGTTGACATGTGATATGAAAGTTAAGGAACAAATGTCAAATAATTTCTGCTTGTTCTCCGCAAAAACATTCATCAAATTGTCTTGTGTAAGGACAACTTTCTTAGATAAGAGCCAAATAAAACATGATACATTGTAGGGTATATGCGTTTTTCATATAGTTTTTTTAGTTTCGGTTGACATTTTGTTGATTGTGACTATTCAACCATATGTATGTTTTGCTTACACTAAAGGTTCCTCTCCCTCTGCCCTGCCACCAAAGCTCATCTTCCCCTTCTTATGTTCCTTTAAACTGGCCAATAGTGTTAAGAAAATCTGCAACTGTTGTGATTTTTCAATCATTTGCTTGTCTTCTGAAACTGATTTCCCACCCATCAGGTATCCACGTTCATGTAATTGTTCTTTGTTGGTTTAACATTAAGTTGTGGATATCTGGGTAGATATTATTTAGAATCCCCATCTCATGCTAGTCATCTTCCCAGAAGCTTGTTTTTTCCCCTTTCTAACCTTAACCTTGGTTTTTATGAGAACCTACCAATTTTTCAATCACCCATTTCAATCTCTCTGTTAGTACTTTTGAGAAGATTTTATAGATGCTTTCTATCAGGCTAATAGATCTGAAAGCTCTCAACTCGGTGATACCTTTTTTCTTGGGAATGAAAGCAATGAAAGTAGCATTGAAGCTTTTTTCCAACACTTCTTGGTCATGAAAAATTTGGTATTCATTATGTCATGTTTTACGATCTCCCAGCATTTAAAGTAAAAATCCACGGTGAAACCATCAAGTCCTAGGGCTTTATACATTGCACATAGTTTTAAGACTTCTCAATACTTCATCTTCGTCAAAGTTCCTTCGTAAAAATCTATGATGAAATAACTGTATGCACATCAGAAAAGATTTATAAAAAGGCAAAATTATATGAATAATTAAATTTAAATGATTACGAAATGTATTGTTGGTTCGTTTTGTCACTATTTCATGAATATATACATTTTAGTCACCTTCATATAGGATATTTTTTCCCCTATCTACCCCTACTTGTTCAAAATATTTTTATACTGTCAATCAAATAATACATTTACCTTTTAATAATAAATTAATAAATTGTGAAATATTATTGTAAAGTTCATGAATTTGACTAGTCCTTAGTTTATCTTTTATTTTATAATTATATGGACTTATCCATTAATTTTAAATTTGTTAATTCTTTTAATTTTCAACTGTTAGAATACTTTTCATGTACTCTATTAAGTTTTATATAATATATATAACATTATTGGAAAAATTATAAGATGCAGTTTCACAATTGATTTGCACAGTAATTTAGGTAAGTGTATTGTTATTTAAATTGAAAGCTAGATATTCTTCAAGTTGATTACTGATTTGAGGCAATAAGACTTGAAGCAGTTTTTGTCAAAGAACCATTTTGTGGTAGTTTACCTCCCATGATGTTGATTAATTAGTTAAAATTATTGTGCCTTCATATTGTTAATCTTTAATTTGTGTTACGCTTTAAGATGTAACATGGATAACTACAGAAAAAAAATGATAAACATGAGATTATATACTTTAAAGGTTTAATAAAAAATTTGAAGTTATTTGTCTATTGCAGTGTTCAAATGCGTGAAACACGTTGATTTTAATCGTTTGTCATATTACATCCGATATATATATATATACACACAAAATATTTTATTAATTATTTATGTTAAATTCAAAGATGAAATGACTATAAGCTTAAATCAGACAAAAGGTAATCTTCGCTTTCAAAATTCATATAACTCATCGCAAGTTTGAGCTAATATTATTATTTTTAAAATTACTTAGCATGAAATACACGTGCAACGCACGTACTCGAGACATAATACTATTAAAGGTAGAAAGAATGTAAGTCAAAAGTTAAATCATGAAAATACCCCTTACCTATTAATTTATTTTTCTTAAAATCATTTTAAGAAATTATTTCTCCATTTAAAAGCAATTTCGTAGCTATACCTCTTCATTTTCCCAACTTATCATCATATTACCATAAATAATATAACTAATAAAAATAATAATAATTAAAAGTGGAAAGCTCCAAAATTTAAATTTGAATTGCCGTTTTACCCTATACTAAATAAAAAAGTTATAAAATATTTTATTAATTAAATATTTAATAGTAATCATATATTAATTTGTCACTTTTCCTTCACATATAAAAACAAAGAGAAATAACACTTCTATTAAATTACTCCAGTAAATAGTAGTATATATATAAGTGGAACCAAAATATGTTAAAAATTGAATTATCAAAATATCCATAAAATATTTAATGACATTAATATCCTTCAATTAAATATTATTCCCGCAATAATATTGTACAAGAATATAAATATACACTTACTTCAATGCATTAGGCTATTGAACATATATACATAAAAATATGCATTAGTATTTTTTCATTTATTTAACTCCTATTTATGTTATATTTTTTTGCTAAAAAATAAGTCTTTCAAATAAATATGAACTGGATAAATTAAAAGACATGGAGTTATACGTTTAATTTATGTAAATTTTTTATTTTCCAATTTGTAATGCAAAATATAAAACATCTCTTCGTATTAATAAGCATATGAAGAATTTGAAAAGTTGGTTGGTGTATTCAATGTGGAGTAAATTTTTTTGATCAATTCAATACAATATATTCATTCACTAAATACTACTAATATTGTGCATACATAGTGAAAAATCACAAGACTACTATCCTAATTCATCAAATTATTAGATTATCAATACTAGTTTGTGTGGGTACATTTTCTCATATTT